GACTGATCAGTGGAAAGGCATCAAAATGAAGGGTCAATTCGTGGATTTGGTTAATGAATGCAACGGCGACTGCAAGTGCGGGAAGAACTGCCAGTGCAAGGACTGCAAGTGCGGTAAATAACCATGGTTAATGGTAAGGGTTTATATAAATTGGCAATTTTCCATTTAAAATCATTATAATTCTTGTTATTTTATTATAACATTTAGGAATATTCTAAAGTATGGTACAAATGGCAATACAATTCCCGAAAATTTGTTTCTAAATTTTTATTTTAAATTTATATACTATGTAATCAATTAATTATTATGATATTAATCATTTATATTTCCTATGAAAGTTCCCAATAAAATGAATTAAAAGTGTGTAAACATGTTATTGTTTTATTAAAACTTGTGACGACTATTACAGACAAATGATATGATTTGCAACTCATGTGAGTATACGACTGCTCTCTGGTATTAAGAATTCAAAAATATTATTCTTGTTGTGTATAAATAGCAATGAATATACTGTTAAGTATGTGTCTATAATGATCTCATGTTTTATAAACATTTATAATACCGTGTCATAAATATTCTTTAGAAAACATACGGTTTTATTAAATGAAAACATATTTGAAATTTAATAAAAATGAATTTATTTTAACAAATGAATAAATGGCGAATTTTAATTTACAAATTATTTTCAATGGCAAAATTCTGCATTACTATTATTATACTGTATAAGGAAACACATGAAATCTTATCAAATAAATTATCAATATCTTTAGAAAACAAAATAAGAAACATAATTTTGTCAAATAATGTGAAATGTTTTTATCCGCTTAATAAAACTCTTAAAATATTTTTCAAATTGTCGTGTATTTTGAATTATTCATATAATAGATGTTTCATTATTAAACTTATGTTAAAGTAATTATATGATTAAACCCACACATAAATAGCTTGCAATTATGACAAACTTATAAGAAATGGTATGCAAAATATACAAATCCTTTAATTGTATTTAAAATAATACTTTTAAATAACATTCCGTTGCTATAAGTGAAAATTAACGAATAATAATATACAGGTAATTTATATTGAGAAATATGCAATTTAAGAAAATATATTCTATTTAAATATATTTTTGAAAGGTT